ACACAGGTTGGAGTTGGAGAAGATAAGACTCTGTGGAAAACTCAAAGCCCAAAGTTCTGTCCATGTGACAATGTTCTCTAGATGCTATGCCACTTTAACCTGATATATGGTGGGTTTTGTCCCCTGCGAGGTTAATTATTAAAAGAAGGCAAAGTCTACAATTGCAGTGTTAAGTAGCTAAGGGTTCATTGGCAATTGGGGTCTAGAGATAATCACTACAGCCTCTGTTATATGTTGCTCAGGCATTTTACTATGTGTATGTTCAAGCTGGTGTTTATAACACATTTTGATATCCTTTGATAAAATGTACAACTTGCATTTCTATACTGGAATGTTTTTGAGCATTCTTACACCCGGACATGGAGATATATATACATATTTTTATACACACACACAAATATATCTGATTTTAGTTGTATAAACAAGACCCTTTTAATTTTCTCTGTGGTTTCCTAACCAGGAAGTTTAGTTCATGGTTCATAAAGTGTAACATAAGCCATAACATTTAAGTGGTGAAGTATGCAATGACATTTAAACATTTTGCATTATATTTTCTACCGCTGTCTCTAAGTTGGATCTTTGTCTTACTGGCCATTGTGTTCTCTTTAGGAGCCAAGTTCTTTATTGCTTAAGGGCCTTTGCACCTATTCCTACATCCTAGTATTCTTTTCCTCAAATCTTTACATGGTGGATTTCTTCTCATGTTTTGAGTTTTAGCTAAATGCCACCTCCTTGGACATTTTTCTCAGGCCATCCTAATCTCCTCTGTCATATGATCCCATTTATTTCCTTCATAGAAATTATCATACTCATGAGCTGTCTTATCTACCTGCTTAGTTATGTGAATATATTTGCCTACTAGAATATAAATTACAAAAAATAACTATAAAAGAATATACAGAAAATAAGCTATGTACTGAATGGAATGAATGGACATGGAGTGGCTGGCATTATAACTTACTTGCTGGAGATAAAATAGTAAATCAGAAAGATTAAGAGGATTTGATTAGGATCTTAGAGTCCTTTAGGGAAGGAACTCAGACAAACCTGGAGATAGGGAGAGAAAATTGTTTGCTAGCAGTTCCATTATTAGTACTCATTCATTCTGGTATTATCTATCCCATCGTTGTGACTATTGTGTCTAAATCATGTAGTTGTTATCTTTGGACTTTCCCTAAAGTTAAACCAGTTTAACATCCTCTACATACTAAAGTTACAGAATTCTGCCTGTTAATCTATTTCACTTAAAAAATTTAAAATGTAGTAATAATAGTAGTAGTAATAAAAATAATAATGACTGTCCATTCACTACCCTTAATGATAATGTCATCTGCTTTATAGAGCTGTTGTGAGATTAACTAAAACAAGGTATGCAGAAGATCCTAGACTAGGTGATTTTATGTTCTTTTAAGATTCAATAGTATTTTTTTCTATATGCCCTTTCAATTTTCATATATTTATTTATCTGAGCATTTATCATCTGTGTGATAGATAACACCAGTAACACCTTGGGCAAGCTACTTAACCTCTCAACCTCAGTTACCTAATGCCATAACATTGAAACAATAATAGTACTAAACGAGTTAATGTATGTAAAACACTTAAATACTGCCTGCCATGTAAAAAGTTATAATCTAGATGCCCATCAGCAGACAAATGGATAAGAAAGCTATGGTACATATACACAATGGAATATTACTCAGCCATTAAAAAGAATACATTTAAATCAGTTCTAATGAGATGGATGAAACTGGAGCCCGTTATATAGAGTGAAGTAAGCCAGAAAGATAAACACCAATACAGTATACTAATGCATATATATGGAATTTAGAAAGATGGTAATGATAACCCTATATGCAAGACAGAAAAAGAGACACAGATGTATAGAACAGACTTTTGGACTCTATGGGAGAAGGCGAGGGTGGGATGATCTGAGAGAATAGCATTGAAACATGTATATTATCAAGTGTGAAACAGATCGCCAGTCCAAGTTGGATGCATGAGACAAGCGCTCAGGGCTGGTGCACTGGGATGACCCAGAGGGATGGGATGGGGAGGGAGGCGGGAGGGGGGTTCAGGATGGGGAACACGTGTAAATCCATGAGTGATCCATGTCAATGTATGGCAAAAGCCACCACAGTGTTGTAAAGTAGTTAGCCTCCAACTAATAAAAATAAATGGGAAAAAAAAAATGTTGATTATTATTATTGTCTTGCCCTGTGAAGAAACCTATAAAGCTTTGCTTTGTTTGTTTTTTTTAAGACTTTTTTGATGTGGACCAATTTTGAAAGTCTTTATTGAATTTGTTACAATACTACTTCTGTTTTATATTTTGGTTTTTTTGGCTGCAAGGCATGTGGGATCTTAGCTCCCTGGCCAGGGATTGAATTTGCACCCTCTGTATTAAACGGTTAAGTCTTAACCACTGGCCCATCAGGGAAGTTCAAAACTTTGCTTTCTGAAAGACATAAAATATTTGAATATTATACTTGACACTTCTAGAAGGTTATACTCAGTAATGTAGAAAATATAAAATACTTCTGTTTGTATAGAAATGAGATAAAATTCAATCAGAATTCCAAGAAGAGTTTTAAAATTTAAGCTGGTGAAAATAATTCTAAGGATCTACCAGTTACTGAAACATTAAAAAATAAAAATAAAAAAACCCAATGTGGTAATCAAGACAGTATGGTGCTGGCAAAGAAGAAAATGAAAAAATATTTGAAATTAGAATTAGCTAACAAATGTAATATTAAAATGCAGAAATATCACTGTGCTGACCAAGGAGTTTCTAGTCAAAGCCATGGTTTTTCCAGTAGTCGTGTGCGGATGTGAATTGGACCATACAGAAAGCTGAGCACCTAAGAGTTGATGCTTTTGAACTGTGGTGTTGGAGAAGACTCTTGAAAGTCCCTGGGACTGCAAGGAGGTCCAACCAGTCCATCCTAAAGGAGATCAGTCCTGAATATTCATTGGAAGGACTGATGCTGAAGCTGAAACTTCAATACTTTGGCCACCTGATGGGAAGAACTGACTCACTGGAAAAGACCCTGATGCTGGGAAAGATTGAAGGCAGGAGAAGAGGATGACAGAAGATGAGATGGTTAGATGGCATCACCGACTCTATGGGCAAGTTTGAGCAAGTTTCGGGAGTTGGTGATGTACAGGGAAGCCTGGTGTGCTGCAGTCCATGGGGTCGCAAAGAGTCAGACACAACTGAGCAACTGTACTGACTCACTGAATGAATGTAAGAATTCAGTATTGGATCAGAAGACATTTCAAATCTATGTAGAAGGAATGAGTTATGTAATAAATGCTCTTGGGACACTGCTATTCACTTGGAAAGAAGTTGGATTGCTACTTTGTACTTTACACGCAAAAATATTCCAAGCTTACTGAAGATATAAACATAAAACAAGGATAAAACATGAGACAGTGTCATCACATCCACCATTGATGTTACAGTAACTCTGTTCGGATACACCCCTCTTCCCTTCTTTCTCCTCTTGCTTCACAGCAGACAGTTAATCAGCTGACCAAAGAACACAAAGATGACACTAGCACCATCACAAAAAGGAATTTGGAACTTGAGTCACTAGGTCAGAATGCAACAGTAGCCATGATAAGGCCATCATATGTTACCATCATGGCTGGACACTGATGGCGAATTTTAATACCTAACGTTTATACAGTGAAGAATGTATTGAGCAGTGTTTAAGTACTTTCCATATTTTAGTTCATTTAGTTCTCACATGAGGTAGCATGCTTCTTATCCTGACTTTATGGACGAGGACACCAAGGCCCAGAGAGGTTAAATAACTGGCCAAAGGTTACACGGTTGGCCAGTGGCAAAGCCAGGATGCCATTGCAGGTAATCTGACTCTAGAGTCTATACCTTTAACCACTTTGCTACACTGTTTATCTAGGAAACTAAGACATATAGATAATGAAGAAATCAGTAAAATTTGACAAGGGTGACAGAGGTTACATCAGTGCAGCAAAACCCTGTCATGTAATCGCAAAGAGGAGAAAAGCTAGTAGCATAAAGAAATAGATACATTGAGTGGACAAACATATTGATGGAAATGGTCTAGTATTTACAAAGCATCGTACAGATGATGACTGTAAGATGAAAACCCCATTTCACTCTTTTGCCCCTAAAGATGTATCAGATCGACTGTTTTTTTTTAATTACTTATTCTGTTTCTTTATAGCAAACCCATGTCAAAAATACGTTCTGTACATACACAAGAAAAATCTATGTATATTAGTTGGTGTTCTTTTCCTCCAGAAATCAAATCACACGTTTCTTTACAATATAAGTACTTGTGATAAAAGACCAGAAAACTCTTAGTAGACCCTTTAACATTCTCTTTGTGAATGATTCTGACACTGATTGGTTTTTATGCAGCTTGGTAACTGCTCACAAGCAAATGTGGAAGGGGCTTACAGGCAGTATTAATTATTTTAGGCAATGCAAAGACACTCAAGGGTGTTTAAGTAGAGTGCTGCTCTGATTCGATTTGAGGTTTGGAGAAATCTCTCCAAGTACCCTGATGCATAGATTCCAGGGGGACAAGAGTAGATAGAAGAGCCTTTAGGAGGGAAGTGGTAAAACTAACAGAATTGGACAAAGATGAGGTGTATTTTGGAAGCAAAGTCAACAGGACCTCTTGGTGAATTGGATTTAAAGAGCAGGGAGGAACCAAGAAAGACTTGTGCTGTTAGGACTTGGTTTATGATTGGTGGTTCCACTTATTAAATAGAGGAACATGGAGGATGAATTTGAAGCCACTGGTGAACAGAGCAGTAGGAGAAATTTTCTAAATGATAATTCCCAGGCTTAAGGTATAAAGGATATGAAAATTGAGTTGTACAGGTAATTGTTATTAAATTTGTATGGGAAAGTGTAAGGAGACACCTTTCTTTTTCAGTCTGTACTTTTTCCTGTGTAAGTTTATTGTTTTGGTTAATCTAAAAGTCTGTGTTTCTTTTCCTAGGTAACCCAGGTTTTCCTGCCTTTTATGTGCCATTTGCAAAGGCTTTGTATTCTGCAACAAAAAGACGCTTTCCAATTTGGATTATCAGTCATGCTGGGCATGTCTTAGCCCCCAGAGGCAAGAAGATTCTTACAACCTCAGAAGGTATGTCTTCGTTAACATTTGCTTTCTTTTACGGTAAATGGGTGTTCTTATTTCTAGAAAGCCTGCTAAGGTTAAGAGTTACACCAGTGGAAACCTCTGCTTGTGGCATTATACCTGTGATGCCACATTCCAGTAATTTTAGGATTTTGGAGGTCATTTTAATCATTATGCAGGTAATTTTTTTAAAGTTTGGGCAAATTAAACAGTTTGTCTGGGACTTACCATCTCTGTTTACCAACTAGTAACCAAGTATATATTTATCAATCATGTACTGTAGTTGCAGGATTGTATTAAGAGGAATGGGGAAGTGTTACAAGACATGGTCCTTAGCCATGGTTCTTACTCTAGAGAAGCTCTTATTCCCACATTTGGAGAGTGACTAAGTGATATTCCCTGGCCTGTGATCATGTGGATACTTAAAGGGTAAACAAAGGAGAGTACAGGAGTTTTAACAGTTGAGTAGAATTTGAATTTCCGGGGTGGAGGTGGGTGTAGAGGTGTAACAGGCAGAAGGATTAACATGGGGGCAGAAGGAGAGAGTCAGTAGGTACTTGAGCGCTGGGCAGGGCCAGATTCAGAGGAGCCTTGAAAGCTGAGGGTAGAACTGTGTGGTAGATTGCTGGAAGCCTTAAATGGAGGAAGTAGATCAGAGAGCTACAAATTACCTGCTTTTAATTCATGAGTATTCTAGCATGTTCACTCTTCTAAAAAAAAAAAAAAATGAGTAGAAACAAGATAAACAGTTTCTCTGTGGGCATTCCCTAAGGGTGTGTGTGTACTCCGTCATTGCGAACCTATGGACTATATATAGCAAGCCAGGCCTCTCTGTCCATGGAAATTTTCAGTCAAGAATACTGAAGCAGATAACCATTTCCTCCTCCAGGAAATCTTCCCCACCCAGGGATTGAACCCACATCTCCTGCATTGGCAGGCAGATTCTTTACCACTGAGCTTCCTGGGAAGCCCATTCCTAAGGCTTCAGTTCAGTTCAGTTCAGTCGCTCAGTCGTGTCCGACTCTTTGTGACCCCATGAATCGCAGCACGCCAGGCCCCCCTGTCCATCACCAACTCCTGGAGTTTACTCAAACTCATGCCCATCGAGTCGGTGATGCCATCCAGCCATCTCATCCTCTGTCGTCCCCTTCTCCTGCCCCCAGTCCCTCCCATCATCAGGGTCTTTTCCAATGAGTCAACTCTTCGCATGAGGTGGCCAAAGTATTGGAGTTTCAGCTTCAGCATCAGTCCTCCCAATGAACAGCCAGGACTGATCTCCTTTAAGATGGACTGGTTGGATCTCCTTGCAGTCCAAGGGACTCTCAAGAGTCTTCTCCAACACCACAGTTCAAAAACATCAATTTTTCGGTGCTCAGCTTTCTTCACAGTCCATCTCTCACATCCATACATGACCACTGGAAAAACCATAGCCTTGACCAGACGGACCTTTGTTGGCAAAGTAATCTCTCTGCTTTTTAATATGCTATCTAGGTTGATCATAACTTTCTTTCCAAGGAGTGTCTTTTAATTTCATGGCTGCAATCACCATCTGCAGTGATTTTGGAGCCCAAAAAAATGAAGTCTGACACTGTTTCCACTGTTTCCCCATCTATTTCCCATGAAGTGATGGGACCAGATGCCATGATCTTAGTTTTCTGAATGTTAAGCTTTAAGCCAACTTTTTCACTCTCCTCTTTCAGTTTCATCAAGAGGCTTTTTAGTTCCTCTTCACTCTCTGCCATAAAGGTGGTGTCATCTGCATATCTGAGGTTATTGATATCTCTCCCTGCAATCTTGATTCCAGCTTGTGCTTCTTCCAGCCCAGCGATTCTCATGATGTACTCTGCATATAAGTTAAATAAGCAGGGTGGCAATATACAGCCTTGACGTACTCCTTTTCCTATTTGGAACCAAGGGTACTGCTTTGTTAATCTGAACTGGGAAAGAGGTGGCTCTGGCTTCATTGCCTAGTTTGCCTCTGTTTCTGGTATGCTGCTTCTATGGTGTGAGCATCTTCTTGTACTTAATCAAGCATCTAATGATAGAGGAAATCATGTGTGGTAGGGGAGGTATGAAGGGATAGGTGATATGGGAACTTTCTGGGCTAATCTGCTTAAATTTTCTACAACTCTAAAACCATTCAAGAAATAAAATCAAAAAATAAAACAAATACTAGAGTTTTTTTTTATTATTTTAATATTTGCATTATACTTTTTTCATTGTGTTAGTTTAGACTCCCATAACAAAACCCATAAACTTAGGTAGCTTAAATAGCAAGAGTTTATTTTCTCATATACTGGAGACTGTAAGTTCAAAATTAGAGTTTCAGTATAGCTGCTGTCTAATGAGAGCCCTCTCCCTGGCTTTCAGGTGATCACCTTCTCTTTTTGTCCTCACTTGACAGAGGGGCAGGGAGGGAGGGAGAGAGAGCGAGAGGAAGGATGAGAAAGCAAGAGTGAGAACAAACCAACAATCTCTCTGGTATCTCTTCTAATAAGGGCACCAATCCCTTCATGAGGGCCCCACCCTCATAACCTCCTCTAATCCTAGTTACCTCCCAAAGTCCCCATTTCCAAATACCATCACACTGAGGGCATGCAGTTGTTCAGCACAAAAATTTTAGGGGACACAAATATTCAGTCTACACAGTCATGAATGGGAATGTTATATATCCATGTATTAATTCGATCACAAGTATTGGTCAGAGTATATATATAACATTATACCAGAGCAATAGTAGAACATAGAAATTATCTCTTAAAACATTTTTACTAAATATTTGTTCAAGTTTTAGTAGCTGCCCTTCAGTCCATCCTCAGAAGTATTACCTTATAGGTGTTAGAAGCAGGCCCTTTGAAGTCTCAGTCCTGTTGAGCAGCAAAGGATAGGTTTCTCTTATAAATGGAAATTCTTTCCACATTCATGAATATCTGCAGGCATGCTAAATTGTTTTTATTTGAAGAAGTAGGTGACAGTTAAGAGGTCATTTCTGTTTTTATCCATGTCCTATTTTTGGCTTTTAACTGATACATATGGTCAAGACACATGGTAGTTATGGCAGAATTTGAGAAATAAAATTACCCTTGTGCATACAGAGTAGATACTCTGGTTCTGTAGTTAGTATGGGGTTTGGTTCTCTTTTCTTTAGTCATAGATGAGACTATCCATGGGTCATCTCACTGTGAACATCACAGCTCCCTGGCTCTTGACCTCTCCTCTGAATTCCTACATTTTGTAGTATAGATCAGCTTCCTGAAGTGTTAGTATTCCAGAATACTGTGTTAATTTTAAATTGACTTTAGCGTCAGATGCCAACTCTTTTTTTTCCCCCACACTACACTGGTTTCTTTTATTTGTTCAAGAACTCATCTTGCAAGCATGGGCTTTGATTCTGGGAGTCCAGATTCACATACTTAGGAAGATAAAAGCAAACTGTGCTCCATGTACATGGATGAAAACTAAAGGCTCATGGTTAGTCACACTGTAATTTTAAGTTTCTGTAGCCTAGCAGCCAGAAGCCACAGGTCCTTTAGGTCCTTCTGGATGCCTCAGAGGGTATCTGCACTTTTCCTGAGTTAGGCAACCTCTTCATCCTTCAGCTTCTGTTTGATAAGACTGGTTAACTCCCGAGCATTCAGGATACATGGAAGACTCAGGAACACTTCATTCTCAAAGCCATACATCCCCTTCACTGTTGTTGACACTGGGTGAATCCTGGATAGACTTTTCATCATGGATTCAATAAGATCAGCCACACTTAATCGAATAGCCCAGATGGTGTCGCCTTTGAGCTTGATGACTTATAGGCACTTTTAACCACCATCTTATGCACTTCCTTCTAATTTTCGCTGTGATTATCTGTTCCCATTTCTGGATTCAGTTCCTGGAGAGAAATGCCTGCCACATTCATATCACTCCACACAGCCACACTTGAGTCATCATGTTCTCTAGAATCCATCCATAGCTGCTGGGATGAATGCCAAGTTTTTCAGCCATAAAATAGCAAAGTCTAGCAGAATCCACATTACATCCACTGCCAACCACAGGGTGCTTGGGTAATCCACTTGGTTTCCAGGTAACATACATGAGAATATCCACTGGGTTGGAACCACCAGTCAGGACTGTACTTGATGACCTGAGGAATGATGAATTTAGAGACATTGATGTTCCTTTGCAGCAGATTCAGACGACTCTGTCCCTCTTGCTGTCAAACTCCTGTAGTTATGCTGCAATCTTGAAATTTGCAGTGACAGAGTAATCTTTGTCTGCCACAGTCTTTGGTGTCTGAAGGAATAAGCTTGCGTGCTGCAGGTGCAGCATTTCTTCTTTGAGTTTGTCTTCCAAAACACCCACAAGAGCAAGTTTATTAGTCAGACACTTTCCCAGAATGCTGATGCCACATGCAATACTGACTTGTCCAACACCCACTACAGTAATTTATTGTTTGGAACTGTTGCCTCTTCTTCTGCAACTGATGGCAATAAGTTTTTCTTTAAGGGTTGACATTGTGCCCTGGGGAAAGAAAGTTCTCCAGATGGCTGTCAGGGTCGCAGAAGAAGATTAAGTCAGAAGCCTACATCTCCTAGGGTGCAGGATCTGCAAGGAAGGAGGAGGAGGCAGCCTTGGCTGCCTCTGAGCTTCCTCTACTGTGATTCCAACTCTTGTTTAAAAATAATTGTATTTACTTATTTTGGCTGTGCTGGGCCTTCTTCACCGCTGCGCAGGCTTTTCCCTAGTTGCGGTGCACGGGCTTCTCATTGTGACAGTTTCTCTTATTGCGGACCACAGGCTGTAGGATGCAAGGGCTCAGTAGTGGTAGCTCGCTGGCTCTAGAGCACCGGTTCAGTAGTTGTGGTGCACTGGCTTAGTTGCTCTGCATTATGTGGGATCTTCTTGGATCAGGGATCGAACTGTATCGCACGCGTTGGCAGGTGGATTCTTTACCACTGAGGCACCACAGAAGCCAGATGCCAACTCTTTTTTTTTTTTTCCCCAGATGCCAACTC